GGTCAACATGGACGATGCAACTAATTATCCGGTTGAATTTTTAAATTCATTGAAACCACCGGGCATGCCATATCATAGGCTTATTATGCGTGTGGGCACACCTATTATGTTGTTGCAAAATTTGAAACCGCCTAAATTGTGCAATGGGACCAGGCTTAAAGTCAAAGCTTTACATCGCAATATAGTAGAAGCCACAATTTTAACAGGATGTGCAAAAGGGGAAACTGTGTTTGTACCACGAATCCCTTTAATTCCGAATGATAATCCGTTCGAATTTAAACGATTACAGTTTCCCCTGAAAGTCTGTTTTGCAATGACTATAAATGATTTTGTCGCCTACTAATAGATCAGTGAAGAACATTGTCTACTAAGAAGTTTTGTAGATAACATATTGAAAAACTATTAGTGAAACACACTAATAGATCAGTGAAGAACATTGTCTACAAAGAAGTTTTGTAGATAACATATTGAAWAACTATTASTRAAACATTTATTTTRAACCTTTAGTGCTAAAATTTATCGTGAACAAAGMTTCTGCCGCCAAAACCTATAACTTATAGAATAGGTTATGATAATAATCATTATCTTAAAAACTAAATTAATATGTATAAAATATTATTTYAAAAATCTTAAATTTCAATAGATTTAACAAAATTTAATCTTGGCAGGTTATAAATAGGTTGAACTATTTTTTTGTTGAGCGCGAATGCTATTATGAATAGTAGTTGCTTATTATTAATTATTAACTTAAAACTATATTATTGTTATTCAGTATTTTATTACTCATTATCATGCTTTATTTATACGTACCTACATTATACTTACGTAATAAATATGGAAGTTCTATGAATCTTTTGCGTTTTTTGTCGTTATTTTTCCATTGAAATTTTTAAAATATATTATTTATTATTCAACACATTACAAATGTTTATTGATCTTAAAATTTTGTATATTTTATACAGGTGTTAGTGGTGTTACTACACATGCATAGTATACCAAGTAGTATACAATAAAATGACCAAAGAAGGTTATTTTTAAAATCTTAAACTTATTAATTTATTTCCAATGATATTTTTTTATGTTTACGCCTTACATCGATGGCCTGGTGTACCACGTAGTCGTGGTTGTCCTCAGTCACAAAACTTGTTCTGAGTACAAGCATCAGCTGGTGTCACTAGTTCCCGAATGGGTGACCACCCGGGTTGTAGTGACAAAACCTCGCCATGCATATACGGTTTTAAACTAACCATACCCCCTACAAATGTTAATGGCCATAGTTTCCGGACTTAACAGATATAATAATAATAATAAAAATATAAAAGCATTGTTTAATTTTTTTTATAATTTACTCTAAATAACAACATTTAGGTATGGTTTACGTTTAAACGTGTATTTTTTCCTTTTTTTAATATCTTATTATATCATACTATAATACAATATGATATTATTGTTTATGTATTTTAATGCATTTCAATTWTTTATTATTATAATCACACGGCGATATGGTTAGGCATTTTAGGTACATTAATGTCATGGGTTTTTTGTGAGGCTTTTTAGTTGTATATATTTTTATACTTCTAAGTTCAATGATACAAATATTACAATGAATATTATTAGCCATCAATTAACGAAATTTTCAGGTATTAAGTAAGAGGTAACTAAGTAGAAACAGACAATAGGTTTGTTTAGTGTTGACGAAAATTGTAATCAAATGTAATATTTATACATAAATAGAAAAAAAATATTTTCTCACTTATCTCGTATGTATATGAATAATTATTTGAAAATAGTTTTTAGAATTTATTTAGAATTCAATCCTCATATTAAAATATTATAATTATTTTGCCTTTCAATAATTTTAGCAAAATGTATTGCTATTCTTTTGTCATGTTAACGATATCGACGGAAGTGGTCGATTTTTGAATAAGTTTTTAAGACAAATTAAACTGGCGTACCGTTCGTGAGATATTTGGGTCACTTTCAAGTTGAGATTAGGTCGAAACCTATGAATGTCTCACAAGCACACTTGTTCGTGGCCCACGACATTTTTCGATACGGTGGTCATCGGTGACACCRCCAACGACAACGAGTTAAAAACGTATAGGACCACAAACTACCGTTTGCTGCATTTGCACCACGACCGAGTCACGCAGGTCACAATGGATTTTGCTGCACTTCTTATTGTTTTTACCACACGGAATCGTTATCATGCAAACATCCTTGTTGCCACCAGCCGTTATCACAATAATCGTGGACCAAATCTAGCACTTTATTGTTTGTACCACGATTTAAGATGTACAGGTTACTTCACGGAGTATTCATTTTGATGCCTAGTGCGGGATCGTAGCCAGATTTTTTTCCATAAGGGGCCCACATTTGTTGGTCCCTTCCAGTTTTCTGTATCCTCTACCACCCTTCTCTTTATCACGCAAAACTTATAAATAAAATATACTTCATTTTAGCAATGTATTAAAGGTATGCCACGCCCGTATGTGTTTTCTACGTTTTAAAAATGTATAAAAAGCTTTTTTTTTTTATTAAGAAAGACAATTTACAATCTGCACACAGTAATTACAATAAGCAAATAAGATATAAAAACAGAATAAAGTAGCACGAATGACGTGATGAGGAAGAAACCCAATGGTAACACCTCCTAATATAAAAAGCTAAGAAACAAAATTTCTACCATATAAAAAGGAGAACATTGGCTGTAAAATAACGTTTTTATTTCTTTTTATCAGAACAAAAAAGTTATTCAAATTTAAAAAACTTAAAAATATGAATTTTGAAACAATTAGAATTTTTCGTATAAGCGATATTATAAAAATAAAAAATTTAATTCACAGATGTTGTTAAAACTATACTGTATAAAAATGTGGAGTCTTAACTATTTAAACTATCACTATAGCTTGAATGGTTCTATATCCRCGTAAAATATTTTTTGCTGCGTTGCACATTTGTAAGAACACGAGTGGGTGTAACGTCCTTTTGAATAATCTTTTTCATTTTTAAATCTATTATTAGACGTTTTATTTTGTTATTTCAAACTGTCGGGTGAAAAATATTGGAATTTAATAACAATTTACGTTCGTTAATAACTATACAGTATATCTATAATATACTTAGGCCGGGTTGCATAAATATTAGTCTGTAAATTCGTTATCGGCCCTGTAATTTACCTGTCCAGTAAGGTATAATGATGTTTGTAAAACTATGAGTGGGTTGCATAAAGAATAATTAAATTATTGATAACCGTGGTTACCAAATAAATTAAACCACATTTTATTTATAATTATAATTATAACACAAATGATATACATATTAAATTATTATATTATTATGACTTATGAGTACTAATACTACTAATAGTACTATTTTTACTTATAAAATATTTAGTTAATGAGCCCAAAAACTCCAAACAATTAAATAAACAATTCACTATCAAAAATGTCACCAATAACATTGATAAYATTAATATAATCAATCGATCTATAAGTTACAGAACCAAAACCTATCTGWAGTTTCCATTACCACAATCGGGCGTTCTAGCAACACCCACTTTTATTTACAGAACCGTTAGTGGTTAACGRTGCGATAACGGTTCGGTAAGTCACTACAGGACGTTTATGCAACCCACCCATATAATATAAGCAAGAATTAAGGACAAATAAACCTCTCATAGAACCACCCATATGTCAAACATGTGGTACCACACTCACAATTAAACACATTTTTGAAGAATACAGAATATACTAAACTTAAAGATATAAGAACTAAATATAAACCATGACATTGGAATAAGTCTAGGTCCAAACCCTGAAAATGAATCCAACACAATAGAATTTTTCAAAACAATAAAAATAATAAACCTACTGTACGTAAGTCACAACTAAAATATAGCTAAACGATTTAAATTATATAATTGTATTTTACTAAAAATGTAACGCTAGTAACCCTTGTTGTCGAAGCGGAAATTTATTTATGTAAATTTCAAGATCAATACAAAAAAATCCTCACATAATGTTAAAAATAATTAAAAAATAAAATTGAGAGGTCAGCACCCGGTTTGTGATGTACTTTGCCTAGCGTTTATCTTCGATTTCCACCCGCGAGCGCTATATATAACTATAGTTGTGATTCTATTTGTCGTGAATTTTCGTGGATACACCGTGCACCGAACTTGTGATACCTATTTTTATATGGTATCTGTTGAATAACCTATAAATAATTAATCGTGGTTCTTATGGTTGTAAGAACGCAGAGAAGTTACCAGTATAGCTAAATAAAATTATATCATATGATCATCACCATGATGCTATTCTGTTGCCACCTCTTTCCTCTTGTGGCCTTTTTTGTATTATATATACTATTATAACATGTTAATTATTTTTTTTTAGAACTTTGTTTTGTATATATAATAACATAGGGATTTAAACATTTTGTATATATAAACAAGTATTGTTTTTCGTTTAATAATTCATTTCATACTATTTACTGTTCGAGTTCATGAGTAATACTGTTATAGAATTATAGAATTATTGTTAAAAAATAAATAATATTATTTGGTAAATTTAAACAATATTATTTGGTAAACTTGAACAATTTTAAATGTTAAAAATATGAATATTTGAAAGTATTATATCCCTGCATGCAGGATGGATATTTACAATAGGAGATTTTATAATATTGATAGGTATATAGACTTTGTTAATATTATTAGGAAAAAACACATTATAAATCATTTAGTATTTGTATAACTTTTTTTATGATTAAATATTTTAATTTTTTAAATAACAGATGTAAATATTGTATTTAACAACGATATAACTTTGATAGTAATTTGTCCAAACAAACTTTATCAAATTCATTGAATATATTTTAAAAATTAAATACTAAATATAATAAATATCTATATAACAACTACAATATACGTTATACGCACGCTTATATTTTGTCGATCAACAATGAGAATCAACCGACATACAAAATCAAAAATGGAAGATCGTAGTATTACAATTATATACTTGAGCCAAATAATATTAAAAATAAGACAAAAAACAACATTAATAATATGCTAATGATATACAGTAAGAAGTAATATTATTCATACATGGAAAAAAAATAAATCAGTAGTTTTTTGACACGTTTCTTAAATTCTAAAAATATTGCTCCACAAATCGTCAATCGTAGGGTATTTAAACTTTTACTAAATAATAATTTGTTATATAACTAACTTAATTTAGTTATTTTAGACCGGCAGAAAACAAAAGATGAATTTGATTGTCTTACGTTCTAAAATCTTATACGTTTATAAGTTTTTAAGCGTGATTCGAAATCTATTTATAATCAGGCCGCTAAAAAAATTAATTAATACCTAATTAATTTAATGAGATAGGGGAAACGAGACGATTTTCAACATAGTTTATAAATACAGAAGGATAATAACCAGAGTATATTATGTATATTAACATAAAAATATTAAATATATAAATAACACAACTCAAAATTCACAACATTTGGTAAAATAGGTATTTCAGTAAAAATATAAATTCTATAATTTAACAAGATAATAATTTACGACGGTAAGATACAAAATCAATATTAGTAATAATAATAATAATAGTAATAATAATTAATAATATTTAATAGGTCATATTATACTAGCTGCCTTCCTTTAATACTGCTAAATATCCATACATAAAATATGTATGTAGCCTTTTAAAGATTTGTGGAGCTGTGGTATTCACATCCGCTTCCGAACTCCCGTACTTAATTAAAACCTTATATATGGTTTGACCGGAATGTAAAAATATTTAAATATTTCACCTACTCTTAAAATGTTGATACTTATAAATCGAATTAAAAAGAAGAATATTTTCAACAACTTAATCGAAAATAAAATATTCTAAAATAGAATCTAGGATATTATTTGGTTATTTTATTATGTTGGATAGATACGATTTTATCAGTAAAAATTTTAAGCACACCATTTCAATTAAAATGTGTTTCAACATTCCCTATTAACCCAACAAACTGTTTTTGAACACCTTAACCAATTAAAATTGATAGTGGTTTTGCAGTTATAAAAGTACATCACAGGAGAACACTCAAAAAAAGAATTGTTTAAACAACTCATATTACAA